TTCCCTAATGTTGGGATTAATGGCATGTGCTCTTCCCAAATACTGATAGCATGAGATCTCAAGAATTGGGATTAAAGGCTTGACTCTCAAGTGCTAGGATTAAAGGTATGTGCCACCACTGCCTGCTCTCTTTCTCTGCTAGACTGAATCAATTTCATGTAGTCCAGTGTGGCTTTGAACTCACAGAGATCCAAACAGGTCTCTGCCTCCTGAGTGCTAGGATTTAAGGTGTATGCTATCACTGCCTGGCTTCTTTGTTTAATCTAGTGCCTGTTTCTGGCTTCTGAACCTCAGGAAAGCTTTATTTGGTACACAATATATCATCACAGGATTATTTGATTTTTGAAGCCTATTTTCTGGGGTTCTTCATATATGTTGAAAATCAGCCTTCTGTTAGATGTGGGTTGGGTGTGTTTGCTTTTTTTTGTTCTCGACCTTTCAGGTTTCTTGTTAGGTTGCTAATATGACATCTTTCTAATTTCCTTATGAAGACACTTAAAACTTTCCTCTTAACACTGCTTTTATTATGTCTCATAAATTTAGGTAATATGTATATTCATTTTCATTCATTTTGGCAAGTCTTTAATTCCTTTCTTCATTTATTCCTTGACTCAGTTGTGATAGGCAGACAGTTATTCAGTTTCCATGACTTTGTAGGCTTTCTGTTGCTTTTGTTATTGTTGAAATACATCTTTAATTCATGGTGTTCTGAGAGGTTGCAGGGGCTGACTTAAATTTTCCTGTATCTGTTGGGAGTTGCTTTGTGACTCACTATAAGGCTAATTTTGGAAAGATTTGATGGAAAGAAGGTATATTCTTTTGTGTTTGGGTGAAATGTTCTGTAGATATGTGTTAGACCCATTTGATTCATAAAGCCTGTTAGCACTATTATGTCTCTTTTTATTTTGTCCTGATGACCTTTTCATCGGGGGTAGTGGAGTATTGAAGTCTCCCATAATTAATGTGTGAGGTTCAATATGTGATTTAAGCTTTAGGTATGTTTCTTTTACAAATGTATGTTTCCCTGTGTCTGGGGCATAGATGTGAAGAATTGCAATGTCCTCTTGGTGGGTTTTTCCTTTAATGAGTTTGAAATATCCTTTTCTATCCCTTTTGATTAATTTTTGGAGGAAGTCTATTTTGTTGGACATTAGAATAGCTACATCAGTTTGCTTCTTAGGTCCATTTGCTTGGAAACAGTTTTTCATCCGTTTACTCTTAGACAATGCCTATGTTTAGTGTTGAGGCATGTTCCCTGCATGCAGCACAGGGATGGATTGCGTTTCCATATTCATTCTGCTAGTTTGTGTCTTTTTCTTGGGGAATTGAGTTCCATTGCTACTGAGAGATATTAAGGACCACTGCTTGTTAATTCCTATTATTATGTTGTTGTTGTTGGTAGTGTGTGCGTGTGTGTGTGTGTGTGTGTGTGTGTGTGTGTGTGTGTGTGTGTTTCAGATCTCTGGGATTTGCGTGTGTGTGTTTATTTATTGCCTGTGTTTTCATGGATATATTTCACTTCCCTGGGTTAGAATTTTCCTGCTTGT